CAGGTTCATCTGGAACATAATCTGCACTAGAAAATAGTCAAGACAATTATGACAAAAGCACTTCTGCCAATTACCTCCACACTTTGGTCCCCTAATTTGATGATGTCCTGAAATGTTATGTCCTCTCGGAGCTTTAAACCAACTAAGTGGGCATTTTATAAGAATTAGATCGAGTCTCTTCAGGTGAAGACTTTGGGACTAAGAGTGAAGAGCTAGCTGGCTAGAAATGTCGTAAGACAAAGCCAATGAACACTGGGTCTTATTTCACACTGTGATGAGAAAGCTAGCAGTGAGGTTCACTGTCTTCTAGGGATGGTGAGTTGGTGACTGATACATCTCTCTAGGATAGTCTGATTAGGACGTCAATCTACCTCTCCGTCTCACACTAACAAATTATTGTGCCTTTTTATTCATTCAGCAAATATTCATAGCATGTCTTCCAAAATTGCCCTGGGCGTTATGTATATCATGGTGAACCAAAACAGGATCTTTGGAGAGGAGACTCATGAAGACATATTTAGCTACAAACTGTGGTAGTTGTTACAAAGGAAAAGAGTGCCATGTCAGGTAATAATGGGAGAACATGTTTAGGGGTCAGTGAAAAGTCTTGAGGGGGGAAAAAAAAAAGTCTTGAGGGAGTGTTTAAATCAGGGCCTGAAATAGTTTAAGTAGAATTTGTTGGAAATTTCTTGAACAAGTCTACTGTTCCTTTTGGAATTTCAACTGCAACTTACTATTTTTGCCTGTGGTGGACACCGTCTAGATCTTTGCTGAGAAAATAGATGATCTTTTCGGGATTTGTAGCTTCCTAGGATGGACCTCGGGCAGCCGGGTTTGTATCACAAGAGCCTTGGCCAAAGAGGATTTGGTACCAAGAGCAGACAAACTTGACATAAACTAGACTGTTCAGTGTCTTTCTCCTGGGAATTGGGTTCACAGGTACTAATTTGTCTCCACTGGCTCCGGAAATGGATATAAGCAAGCTTCAACTATGTTCCAAAGAGAAAGTCAAAGTCTGAAGAATGAATGAGTTTTAGAAAGAGAGAGAGAGAGATATGGAAGAACATGTGACTAGAGAGAGACATTGAGCTTTCAGAGGAGCTGCTAGCTTCCTGTTGATGTTACCTCTTGTGCCGGTCCTTTGTGAGATCTTATTGATCTAAGCTGTTGGATTCTGTGAGATTTTATTTTTAATTTGTGCATTTGGTACAGGGTCTTACTACGCAGATTGGACAGTGGTGATCCTGTTTTCAGCCTCCCCAACTCTGGGATTACAGGTGTGTGACACTGTGCCTGGACTCTGGTCCCCAACTCAGCGGGCTCTGTGGTCAGCACCAGCACATCATGTGGGACTACAGATTGAACCCTGGTCCTTGCACTTGCCAAAGCAGGCCCTTAGTCCGCTGAGCTATCCCGCCAGCCCTTCTGTAAGATTTTATATACACATAGGTATGTGTTTTTCTTTCTTTTTTTTTGCATGGGGAAATTTAACTGTGATTCTGTCACTGGCAGACAAAAGACCTTTGGCTGAGACTGTTTTTTGGTGGTACTGGGATGGACCCAGGGACTTTGCTCTGAGTTATAGCCTAACCCTTTTTTAATTTTGAGATAAGGTTTTGCTAAGCTGCCCATGCTGGGTTGGAACATGTGGTATTCCTGTCTCAGCCTCCCAGCAGGCTGAGATCACAGGCTTCTGGCACCATACCCAGGCTTCCTCCTCTTACCCAGGATGCTCCTACTGCTCTTTAGGAGCTGTCACCTCTTCAGTGCCTTCCAAATTGTGCCACAGCAGAGTTGTTCCATCCTTCCTCTGTCCATATACTCTGATTTATAGGACCACCAGGAAATTTACATGTTTGTTTCTTATCATAAAACCTAGCTCCAGAAGGATGGTGATCAGAGCAGACTCACTTCATGGTTACTGAATAGAAGAACAAATCTGATAAAATCTAGCATGAAGCCATCTGTGGTGGTGCATACCTGTAATTCCAGTACTCTGGGAGCTGAGGCAGGAGGATTGCAAGTTTGAGCCCAGCCTGGACAACTTAACAAGTATCTCTCTCAAAAGAATAATAAAAAAAAAGGGGGCTGGGATGTAGCTCAGTACAAAGATGAAGGGTTACTTCCCTAGTACTGAAAAAAAAAGGGGATAGGGATAGGGAGAGAGGAATAGAGAGAAAGGACAGGCCTGGGAGGAGGGAGGAAGGGTACTTGGGGCAAAGGGGAATAGGAGGGACCAAGGAATGAAGTAAAAACAAGCAAGAGGGGGCCTGCCCATTAGCTCAGTTGTTTAAGTGCCTGCTTAAACAAAGCAGTCAGCCTCAGGGAGCTGTGGTTCCATACCCAGATAGATACTCAAGCCCATCCAGACCAGCGCTGGAGGCAATCTGAAGCCACAAAAAAACCCAAAACAAAACAAAAAACAAAATAAACAACCCCCCCCAAAACCAAACCAAAAAACCCCACAAAAAACCGAGCAAGAATTTGAGAAACGGCAACATTTCTAGTGGTTGATTTGTAGAGCACATGGAGGAGAACAGTAAATGAAACCCAAGAGAAAGACTGAGAAAGATTTCCTAACTTCTTATATAGAGCTTGGGCCTACTAGTGAATGAATCCTACTTTATTAATCCTTTTAGTCTCCAGAGCCTTCAGAAATGCCTTGTACATCATGCTTGTGAATTAAATAACTGGCAAACAGGTAGGTAAGCAGTTGTAAGTTAATTTTTATATTAAATTTTCCTTTGGGTACCAGAGATTTCTTTTCCATACATAAAATCATTTACTTAGACTCCAATAAAGAGACCTAGTCTCACTTTGTTAAAATTCAGAGGCTGTAAATTTCTTACATAGGTGGCAAATTAAAAAACAAAATCAGTTTTAAGATTTAAGGGCAAGGGGCCGGGGAGATGGCTCCGTGGAATAAGTGCTTCTCTGCCAAGTGCAAGGGCCTGAGTTCAATCC